TTTTACTCCCCTTGATGAAGTTTAAAAAAAAAAAACCTGTGAAACAGACTTTCTAATTTTTAACTTTTTTCCCCCCCACACTTTCTGAAAGTCTTACAACTGTGAACCTGCTTCAGGGGAGGCGGATCAGACATAGAAGAGCTCTAAACACTGTAACAGAGAACATTAATTTCTGTAAAACAAGTATACATATCACTTCAAAATACTATTTGCTACTCATCTTTAATGCAGCAGCTTTGTACTCAAGGAGGCTGCCTGGAATCTAAACAAGAAAAATTTAACAAAAGTCTTGGAAGAGCTTCCCAATATTCACATGGTTTCATAAACATTTACTAAATACCTAAATAAACAGAAATTTCACAGACTTTCAAAGATTTCAGGATACACTTAAGATAATTCACATGAGCCTACTAACCCCTTTCAGATGGTGTCACAGTGTAAGCAAGTAGATCAAATTTAGGTATTTGAGTATGAATACACTCTAGGAAGAAGTACGTCTTCTGGTATTCTTCTAGACTATTTTATAACCTATACTGACATAGGCTATCTAAACAAGAATGTGAACTTGAAGCACCTGTTTCCTTTCTAACAGCCAGTAAAGTATTTGGGAAAGGTGTGAAAGAAAAAGGGAATCCAATTAATAAAAGAATCTGAAATAACTTTATGCAAAAGCCTAGAAACAGGCCTTTTAAAGAGAAGTGTGAAAAAACCTTAAGCTTCTTCTGCAAGTAGTACTCAAGCTCTGACAGTAGATGGGCAAGAAAGTAATAAAATCAGCATCTTCATGAAATGTTGTGGTAATAAGCAAACGGGGAGGTCAGATCTGCTATCAGTACATTAACATCCCAAAAAAGAAAGGGTTTTGCCAAGGGAAAAGAAGGGAAACATGAGACATAGATGAAGCAATTTCTTATCCATCATCCGGGGGGGGGGGGTCTAGAAGAAAGAAGTCTCTTAAATAACAGTAAGAAAAGCAATAATGTAATAAATAAAATTATCAAATAACTTAATTGCTGAATATACTGTAAAATGACCAGTTTAATCTGCCATTGAAAGAGTGCTAATTTGCCAAGGTACTTGGTTAATGACACCAACAACAGATACCTTCACTATTCCTAGAGACAGAAGACACCACCTAGTTCCTTTTAACTTATTTGAAAAGAATTGTCACACCAATTGTCCCTTTTCTAGAGTTATCTTTGACAAGGAAGAAGAAATGTAACTCAGGGCACATAATACACTGATGTTCATACGCTAAACACTGGCAGATTGCAGGTTTCTATGACCAAATAGCAAGCTGTCTTCTAACAAAACTGTTTGGATGGCATCTGAAATATGACTAAAATGCTCAAAAACAAAATTCAAAAGTGTGTAATACGTTAAGTATCTCACTTACTGAACACAGAAGAAAGAAGGAAAACATGGTCAGGACCTAGCTAAAGTGAGATTACAGATTTACAAACCTTTAGACAGCATTCAGAGACGGTGCTATCTGCACATTTCACATGATGTCACATGTGAGGCAGGTTAGCCCCCCTTCTACCAGGCATCAGTTTACTGCAGCTGAGTGTGCACATTTGTCAGGCACTTCATATGCTTGGAATCAACACTCTAGCTTATGTCATGCACTACTTCGTGCTTGACAATACAATTAAGACATTTTAAAAGTGCATTTATTGTAATGTATATTGTAATTTAGATTACGATTAATATATTACTATATATAATATGCAATGAAGATATAAATTACAATTAATATCTAACTATGACAGTGACAAAATGTAACAGTAAACTTAGCTCCCCTACTTTATAAGCATCAAAACTGTAAAATAATATATGATAGAATGCAATGTTTTAATATACTGAAGATACATATTCCCATACTCCTTTTAACATACTGAAGATGCATACTCATAGCACCTGTGGAATAGGTTACAACCGCTAAAGAATTCAACATTTCACTGAGGATACAGCTGCCAATGCAGCCATTTCCACTAATTCAATAGTCAGACTACATTTTTGGCAGTGAATGTATGCAACTTAATAGTTTTAATTAGTTTACTTGTGAATAGGTGGTCTTCATTGTCTTCTGCATGTCTGCCCTTTTTATATAATTTTTTTTTTTTTTACTTCTTAATGAAAACAGCAAAAATATTTTTTATTCAGTTCTGCTCAGAAGCAGGTTTAACTGAATATCTATTTTTGTAAATACATTGGTCATCCCACAAGAAGACCATAGATCCACACCCCATCTTGGCACACAGAATCACAGGATGTTTTGGGTTGAAAGGGACCTTTAAAGGTCACCTAGTCCAGCCCCCAGCATGTCAGCATGTTCATACACTTTTACCTTTCAGTAGTGCGTACCTTCTATGAACTATTTTAGCCTGCAAGCTAACAAAAATGCCAAGTTAGGACTGCTGAGTATCCTACATAAATATAGTGCAATCCTAAAATACACAATTAAGGAAAAACAACTACTGTTTAGTTAGAATGAAAAGATTCTAGTAACAGATGGAGCACCTTTTATTACCAAATGAGCAGACTGCAACAGAATTTTAAAAAGAACTCCATGGCAGTTAAGGTATCTGTCAACACAGTAGTTTCAGATCTGGTAAACCACAATCTTCCAGCTAGCAGCTTTGCAACTTTGCTGTTAAACTTCACATTCATAAACAGTTACACAGGACATTAAAGGGGGTGGGAATCACTTCTACTCACTAAAATCAATACTTTCCCGAGAAGAGAAGAAAGTAAAATCTGTAGTTATAAAACTACTCAAAAAAAGACCAAATGGCTGCATGAGTTAACAACTTCCAGTGAATTTATACAAAACTTAGTTTTAAAATTAACAGAAGTATTGTATTAATAAAAATGGGCCTTCTCTGTGACACTGATCTATCAACACACAGGAATATGTTCATCAGCAGTAGAACTGGAAAGTTCATTGTTAGAATTCAGGTGAACACTGAAGTCTGTTTGATAGCACCCACTAAAAGTTACACTTTGGGAAGCTCTTAAAGCTATGGTTCATTTATCGTCCATTTGTTCTACAGATATTTCAGTGTACCCTGAAAGTACTGGCTTATGTTTTATTCATTGGTGATCATAACTTCCTTCTTAGGTACTCAATAGTAAAAGCTACAGCCGAATTTTCTCTCTGCCTAAAATGCGCGTAGCAAGGATCAGCTATAGCAATCTTTAAAGATGACTGAGTGTTTCTGTGTTCCACAGGACAGACACCCCTGAGAATATTCGTGTATCCCACAAAGAATGAGAACAGATATTAAAAAATGTTTTTTTCAAAAGACTTGTTCATCTCAAAAGTCATCAGGAAATAATACATCAAGATGATAAAATGATACAAGAATTATATCTGAAATTGGAAAAAGCCACTAGAAGAGGGTATTATACAAAAACCAGCATGTTGCCACAAAAGTCTGCATCCACTTTTCAACAAGTTATGCCTTTGAGAGAGGTCCCTGGGAAAAAATAACTCTGCAGAAAGCTTGGCTTACTGGGCAAAAGTTAGTTCTAGTCTTCTGCTAAGAATTTAAAACTCTGAGAGCCAGGAAAAAAAGCCTCCTTTAGAGAGTCTCTGAAGATTAGGCAGAAACATTTCCTCATTTTGCTTCACTTACTCTGGGGAGGAGGTGGTAGGTGGGAGAAAAGTGTTGAAGCCATGAATGCTTTCTAAGTTATTCTTTCTAAAATTAAAACTATAGTGTGAAAACAAGTGTTTTGCAAAGATGATTTTGCAATAAGAACACCACCATATTTTTTCATTAACTTTCAGGATTTAAGCTTTGTCTTTTTTAAAATACAGCATACATGTGGACAACCCTACCCTATCTTTCCCCAACACACACTCTAAGAAAGAGGAATTGCTTCATCTACTACATCCTTGAAGAGCATTGCCTATGGACAGAATGATACTATTCAAAGTTATTTTAAAATCAATACAGACTAGCATGGAAGCACTGACATTTAAAAACTATAATATGGCTTTTATATGGATAATTGTGCTGTACAGGTATTAATCTAATGTACCTTTCTTACAAAGTGTCCACACAAAAAATGTCCACAACTTTGTCCTCCCAGTATCTTCCTACCCCTTATTTTTAAAACCTACTACAGTAAGAAAAAGTCTCAGCAATCAAACAAGATAACTTGAGCTGAACAATCACAGCACCCATCCATAAAGCAATGCTGCTAAGGAGTTCTCATTTCTATTCCATCCATTGCATTGCGCTGGTAAAGTGATTCCAGGAGCTGCACAGTTGAAAAGATCACAGAACTGCTCCATCTAAGGAGTAACAGAATGGGCAGGAGGGTGAATTTTTTACCCCAGAGGAACTAGTTGCCTCTTGCAAGCCTGCACAAATCATGCTGCTAGCAGATGACAGGACTACAAAATTAAAAGAGCTAGTTAACATGATGGTGGAAATATCCTTGGAACTACAGCCCAGAAATCAACTCCTTCTGGATGATTTTCAGTATGACATGCAAATCTATTTTCTCTATTCTACTTCTATAATTCTATCAGCACAAAGCAGCAAGTAAAAACAAAAGCAAATCCCCATCTCTTTCCTAGGCTCACAGTTTTATAAAATTATGTAAGTCAGGTTTCTTTAGCTATATTCAAACGTTAGCTGCTCAGATTAGATGGAACTGCAAAGCATGCACAAAATCTGCAAATATTTGATTCAGCTGGGCTCTGCGCATGTATGCAAACAAACTTCAAATAAAATTAGTCTTATGTTGCAATGCATCTACTGTATTTTTAAAGGAAGAAACAGATGAGTATTTGGTGTCTCAATTGTTTTTTTCCTTAATTATATAATCTACTTGCCCACAAGACTGAAATATATACATTTGTATGTCTATTTAAGATGTATAGGAGAAAAACAGGAGAGAAGCTTTCTGATCACTTACCGAAATATAGGAGTATGACCAGGCTTTGGTTTGTTCCAAGTAAAGTGCGAAGGAACAGAAAGAAATTGGTCTCCAGGCAAATCTTTCTTCAAGGTGTGCTGAGATCCAGAGCAGTCATCTACTGTAGTTTCAAGGGATGACGATAAGTTACCCTGTTCTTCAGAACAGATATCTATTTTTCCAGATAAAGTGGCAGTCTGATCCTCTGAGGTCTTTCTTGTTTTCAGAGGAATATCAGTCTCCGTACAACACTGAAATGGTGAAAGGCCAGAATTAAGGCCTTGTACATTATGGATGGAAGTGTTTAGCCACGTGTCTTCTGTTATGCTTCCTCTAGGAGAGTGGCCAGGTGATGGAGTTGGAGAATGGTGAGGAGAGAGAGAACCAGCGTAGCAAATCTCAGCACTGGAGTGTCGTCGTTTCCCACAGGGGGATGTAGGTCTTGATGAGGGCCTTGACGTTGGCCTAGGGCTTAGCCAATTTTCATCTGTAACACTAGTTCTAGGAGAATGACAGGGAGACTGTCTAGGTGACAAGGCATGCCCAAATCCATAAGTCTGCTGCCAAGACTCATCACTGGGACCTCTTGGAGAACCACCAGGAGATGCCAAAGGAGAGCCAAGGGTAAATCGAGCAGCTGCTTCATTTAGCTCTGAGTCTACATCATCATAAACATGGGAAATTGATTCACAAGAGGAAGCATCTGAAAACCAACTTCTGGACGAAATGCTGCTGGCAGGGCTTGGACTAAGGGATGATTCCCTATATGAGGGCTCAAGAGGAAGATAGAGATGGTCTCGTGAAGGCCTTTCCATATACTCATTTTCTGTGCCATTTTTGTGCAATTCATCTTCATTGGCTTCAATTCCCTGATGACAGTTAGGTGAAATAGATGTTATCTGAATACTAGGGCACTCAAAGGGTTTGGGCCCACTTAGTGGACTGTATTTGGATTCTGGTACCTCACAACTCCCTTCATAGTTCTTATGACTCTGAAGTCTCGTAGGTGGTGACAGAGGAGAGGAGTGGGACTGCAATCCATGGCGAGGAATACAAATTGGCTGATTTACAGAGGATGATGGTTGGTCTACATTAAAGATGTATATGGATGCACAGTCATCTGACTCAAGATCTGAAAACAAGATTAAGAGAGAGGAAGAGAGAGTCAGAATGCAATACTTGGAAAATGCCATAAACAAAATCCTTTCCCTGGTATGGCCTGTTTTCAACATCCTAGACATTTTCCACCATACTAGCCACACAAAATAAAGCTCGTTCTTAATTTTAAATTTTCCCCAGACATATTCACAGCTAAATATGACTACAGCATAGTTTTCTATCATAAATCTTGTTTTCAATCAGGTTCTACAGTTTACACTCATCTTCAGTGGTTGAAAATATACTATGCACAGGTGTAAAGTCATGAAAGGATCTAAGCTGGAACACTCAATGCAAACTTCATCTTTCATAATTAAACACTTTTAATCATAATCCATTAAAAATGAATCTTTGACATGAACAGGACTATGCAAGCCCACTAGTAAATACTTACAAGCACTGGAATATCACATACATAATAACATTCACCTCTTTTAACACTAGAAAGCACCTTTACAGTGACTCAAACTTCAATGAAGATTATAAACAACTGAAAACATTCAATCATAAGATGTCTAAAAAAGAATATTATTAAAGATTTTATAAAGAATCTTATTTCAATTTTTATACTTAGAAATCTCCCAAGTGCCCATCCCACAGAATACCATTTTTCAAGTGCAGGCTCACAAAGTTTGAGCACAAGTTGTTCAGCATAGAAAAATCAAAACAAAATACTCTCAGATCTCACTAATTTATCCAAAACACAGGAAATATTCCAAAGAAAAACAAGCAATTGAGAGAGAGTGCAAGTCCAGCTAACAAAATCAGCAGCTGTCTCACAGAACTGCAGCAGATTTTCTAATCCTGCTTTTCAATATTGAATTAACTGCCAGGATGAGACATTTGTCTGAAATGACTAGAAAACACAGCTTTTTTCTTATTTTATAAACACTGTGCTTCCACGCTTTTTTCTTTTCCCTTGTAAAACAGATCCTTTCCCCTATAATTATGAAAATTAAGTATGAAAGAGACCTCAGGTAGTCTATCAATTCCTAGCAGATGAAATTATATGTACTTAGACGATTCCCACTAAACACTGAAATTAGACTCATAATCTATTAAAAATACTGTCTTTACAACCTGAGTAATTTGCTTTAATGCTGAATCATTTTGATGACTTTTGACCCATCACTAATATTTAACATAATCATTAAAATTACACAGTTTCAAGTACTGTGTGTGAGGGTTTTGTTGAAAGGAGGGGGCGACCAAAAGGAGGGGGCGACCCTTAAGACGAAAAGAATGAGAACAGCTCAAAATGAAAAAAAAAATAACATAGGGCTTCAAGGAACCAGAGATTAAATAAACTCAAGGAATTCTCAAAATAGGCAAGTGCAAGGCAAAAATGAGTTTTGGAGAAGCCCAAGCAAAGTAAATGGAGTTATGGAAATCTGGTTACTTAATAGGAGAGCTATTACATCCAAACAAATGTACTGGGGGCAGCAAGACAGTAAAGATGTGAAGTTGGCCAAGTCATGAAGCCTTCACTGCTCATATAATGTCAGAAAGAAGCATTCAAAAAAAGAGAAACTAGGTCAGATTAAAAAGGTAGAGCATAAAACCTACCACAAGCACATGGAGGCAAGATCCTAGATAGGATAGGATAGACACAGTAAAATACAAAGACCAAGAGAAGCAGTGCCATTCACATCAAAAGCCATCCATGACCCTAAAAAGGCAGGTGTGTTAAATGCTTTTTCTTTAGTAAACTCAACTGAGTAAATTGCTAACAAAGTTAACAGCAATGTAGTAAAGGAAGTTGGACTAAATAAAAAGTTAAAAAGAACTGAAGAATTATGGGCCAATACATTTAACTTCAGCTTTAGTAGTAGTATTAGTAGTTCATTTGTTCCAGTAAGTATTTAAGAGGAGACCGGGAAACAAAACAAGTCGATGTTTGCCAAGAACAAAACTGTGTCAAACAAATTTTGTTTCAACAATCAAAGAAGGAGGTCTTCTGGATAGCTAGCATAGAAAAACTCAGCTTTGTTTTAACTTAAGACTTTTAACATTACAATGCATAGAAAAACCACCGAGCCTTCAGATATTTAGTGAAGCCTTCTTTCCCGATCTGCTGAGATCAGGGTTATCGCTGAGGGATCACAAAAGTTAGCAGATGCCCTATATTCACACAGTGTAGAGAAGCTATATAAAGCTGCACGCTTCCATCACAGTCTTACATCAAGCGTCTGTGTTATCCTTTACCAACGAGAACCAGAAGGTCTGTCATTTTGAAAGTAAATTGGCTACCATCTAGAAACACACTGGTTTACAGAAGCTCCTCTTCAGTATTAAAACGCTGGTTCATCCCTTACTAAGCTGCTAACTATGCTTCAACATAAGCTGTCTAACTGGAGAATATATCTAAGTAATACCCAGAACAACTGCTCCTAAGGTACATTTTACTTGCTATTTACCATATCAGGCTGCATTCAGGACTAGTAATGCTTGCCCACCAGTTGTTCACTCCTCAATGACATACATGCATATGTGCAGCTGTGCAGTGATCCAGATTTCTCCACAGAAGGAAGGTCAATTACTATCAAATGGCTGAACATAAGCCCTGGCTTATACTGGCTTTATATTGAGTATGACATATGTGGCATGGAATACCTAGTTGGTCAGTTTTGGGTCCGCTCTCCCCGTAGGCACAGACACTGCACCCATGGTGAGACAGTGGCCTTGAGATCATCACTCTTAACAGTACGCACTGTCTGGAAAAACATGCTGTTAGTTTCAGCAAGTTGAGCCACTTGGAAGAGACTGAGCTGAAAAGTAAAATCACTAAATAGAAAATTAGTTCTATTTAGCTCACCCCAGGACACTCTTTCTGAACACAATGGTATTACAAAGAATGCCACAGAAATACCTGCAAATGAGAACAAAAAGCATGTGTAGCTTCATTTTTTTAATCTCATTATCCTACTGACTTGCAGCAGTTCATATATTTCTTAGGATGAAAGAGTAGTCTTAATCTTCACAAAGAACCCAAAATACCCAATAGTCACAGTTTTCCAATTGTGCACTTAAAAAGACAACTGATCAGAGTTTTTGTTGGTACACTAGCACACTAAAGCTCTATAATTGGATATTTAACTCCAGTTTGCCATTGTAACCTGTAAGTTCTTCAGAGACACTTCCTACAAGCTTAAACATCAACTTAAGAAACACAACCCAAAAACCCCCTAAAAAACACAGCAATGTATCGGTTTATAAGGAGTGTAACCGATTAGTAAGCCGCCAAATGCATTACTAAAAAAAGTATAAAATGTGAAAACAATCAAGGTAGCAAGACGGAGCAGGGGAAAGACGCATCCCTATAGACCCAAGTTTAAGCTTTCAGAAAAGGACGATTTACAACAGCCGTGACTTTATTAAGTACTTCTCCCTCTTCAATAATCTTGTGCTCTGTTTCATGGTCATATTGGATGACTCAAAAAGGATAACAATTAATTTTACTTCTCTCAATCATGTATGCTACAGGCAGCTCTGTTGTGTCCATCAGAATTTAACTTGTATTCTTCTGTTAAACAAGGATCCTAAAAACACTGAAGAAAAACAATCCTCTCAACAGTGGGAACTCATCGATGAGTCTTTTCCATAGCCTAGTACAGATTTACACTAGAATGGCTGTCTTAGTGTACATTCAGCTTCACCCTGAAGCAACGGAATTAAGTTCCAAATAGGGAAATAACAGTAATAAAATGTTATTTGGCACGTACGAAAAACAGACTAAATGAACATGAAAATCAAATGCATCTGCTTGAGCTATAAGCATATTTCAGAAAAATACGTATTTCTGTTGCAGCAAATGAAGTTAATCTCAGTTGAGGTGGTTGGTTGGTTTTTGTTTTCAAATGTAAGTTCTCATGATCTTCCATAGCAGAACGCTTTGAGATACGTTGATAAAAAGTGATGCACAAAGCAGCTTGTAACTGTAAGGTTCAGCAAGAATTAGTCATGTAAGTTCAGTTACAAGAACATAAAACAGCAACTGGAAGTACTAGGCAGTGTTTGGTAGAACAAGAACTACACAAGCAGTGTGCCTTCTCCAGCTCTCCCAGTATTTCTGGTTGATTACGAAGCACATATTCAAATGAAAACTTAGGAGTTTGTGGTTTGATGTTCAAGGATTATTCATTAATACTGATAACAGCCTAAAAAAGGAAAAATCTTTACTTTTTGCCTTACAAATCTCTAAGTTCTCTGGACTTCTCTTTGCTTTCTTTTTTCCTCTGTATGTACACCATTCAAGAGGGCACACTATTTTACTGCATAATACCCTTGTAGACAAAATGGAAGCTGTTGTCCTGCAGTGTGATAAAGCCTCATTTGTCATTCAGTGTTAAATGGAAAGCCAGCTTAACATGACCCAGTAGCTCACATATATTAACAAATGCACTATGGCCTTTGGGTAGATTCTTACAATGATACAATACATATACGCAGCAGTCACTAACACATACTGTTTACAGCCTATTTGTCACTGCTGTTCTGAAGATGAAATACATTATTCTGTACAATCAGTCATAAGACTTTGTGAAGGGAATGCAGCCCAGAGCATTTGGTATGTGTAGAAAAGGGAGCTGAGAGAAGACTGAACACTCAAAAACTGGTGTATTGTGCCTGAATCACAGGAAGAAGACTAATGATAAAGATATGTGAGCATATATCAGGCAAATACTGATTGAAGAGAATAAAAGAATTATGTATTGTAGTTGCCAGCTGAAGGTTTGTCTAGACTCTTGGTACTGCAGGCCAATTTACCATCCACAAGCTAACTCTTCCTTTGCGGAGGGCAAAACTAACAGACTTCATAAAAGGCTCTCCAGTTATTTAAAGTTCTGGTTTATGTTGTGTCTATAAACTGAAATTCTCACCTACCTACCTACATAGATGCCTTTGCCCCAAGCAATTTCTAACAAAGAGTTAGCTGAGAGTAACTTGCTGCTCTAGACAGAGACTCCTCCAGGC